AGGACTCAGGAGTGTCCTCCAGGTCTCCCATGTAGGTCGCAGGGCCCAAGAACTTGGGATGTACTCTGGTACTTTTCCATGCCGTAAGCAGGGAGTTGGATAAGAAGTGGAGCAGCTAAGACTCAAACCCACATCTCTATGGGATGCCGACACCACAGGCGGGGCCCAGCCTGTTAAACCCCCTTGCAGACCCCTAATGGATCACTCTAAATACTTCCCATTGCTTATCTGTAGATTGTAACACTATCCGTGAGAAAGCTGGTTCTCATCATGCATCACCGTTTGCTTAAATTACTCACTTGCAGTTTACATGCATAAAAATATTGAAATTATTAACTGTGTACCTCCCTTTGCCTTTTGCCTTACAAACTTTGCTCATTTCCAGGATTATTTAGGCCAATTACTTTCCTTCCATTCTTTTCACTGGAGTTGCACATACATTTGCAGTAACTAAATTCTCACTGTTCACTTTTTTTTCTGAGATTACCCAGCGTCTTCACTGATTTTCTTCCTAGGTTTTAAAATTTTTATTGCATTTGTACATATTTAAGATGTACAGTGTGTTTTTATTCACATATGCAATATGTTCTTCTTCTCCCAGCTTATTTAAGTATCCATTCTACACTTAGAGATGATTCTTGGGGAGCAATGAAAACATTTAAATTCTACTCTCAATAAATTTCAATTGTGCTATAATACAGTGTTAGCTGTATTTGAAAATCAAATGAACATAGTGGTTAAAAACTAGGACCTTTTCTGTTTCTGCCATTTTGAGCATCAAATTCTTTTAAACGGTGATGGATACTACTGGTTTTTTGTTTTGTTTCATTTTGAGGCCTTGAAAGAGCGTCCAGCCCAATAGGGATATGCAGTGTTGTAGCTTCTAGAGATTGCTGTGGGTTGTACATGAATCCTGAAATATTTTCTCTTTTCACTGATTTTTGTAAATTTGTAGATGCTGCTGTACCACAATGTTTTGTGGCATATCCCAATATATTTTTGTAGTTTAATAACTATCTAAATTATTTTTGGTACATCCTAGGGAACTCAGTGCTAAAAATATATTTGACATTATGAAACAGCAAAATCTCACATTAGTTGTTAAGGACTTTTTCTATAATTGTTTAGTTTTTTATAATGATAGCATGGGTGATCAGGATGGGAAGGATTGAGATTTAGTAAAGTGGGTAAAGTTATTGTTTCCAAATTTGCTATTTTTTCTTGTTGTTTCTGGGGTAAGGAGTGTCTTAAGGACATTTTTAACATGCTAACAATTGTCCTCAGAGCTGGTCAGAACAAATGTATTTTGACAATAAGCTTGAATGAAATCTCTACTAGAGACACTAAACAACACCTTTGACCCAATGTACCTTGAATGATTTCATAAACACTTAGAAAGTGCTCCCTACACAGCATGTCCAGTGCTTGGCACTAAAGATGCCATTGCTCATGAGATGTACTGCAGAGAGAGAGAATGAGCTTAGAGTCCCTGGACCACAGTTTGGAAGATGTTAGCCCAAGGGTTTTAGAAAATGGAAAAGAACCTTCCAGGGAGACAAGACAAACTAAGTCACTAGAATTCTCATAGTATCATGAGAATAGGAAACGATTATAAATTCCATGCTGAAAGAGGTGCGGGATTTGTTTTGTTTTGTTTTTTTCTTTTAAAGCAAAAACAAAACAAAACCAGTTAGAGGTTGGCAAGGACCAGATCATGGAGAGGCCATAGAAAGGAGCTTGCAGTTTATCCTGTGGCTGGTGGAGAACTGCAGAAGGTTCGAAAGCAGATGAAAAGATGTAGTCAGATTTGTGTTTCAGGGAGTTAATGTTCCTAACTATAAGGCAGAGATAAAAGAAGAAGGAAATTAGAGATGGAATGACCAACAAGACTGTTGATCAGGTGACACGGGAAGCAGACCTACTGCGACAAGCACAGGAAGGCCAGAAAACATTGCAGACATGTTCAGGAGGCAGAAGGGATAGGAGCTAGGATGAGGACGAGGAGATAAAAGAGGCCAGGATAAACATAGAGCTTCTAGAATGAATAAACAGTTGACCTGTAATGTCTTACTCAGGTCATCAGTGCAGAAGGAAGGGAGATCCGTTTAAGAAGAAAGAGGATTTCAGCTGTTTGAAGGGAGGAAAACTGGCCCTCCAGGTGGAAATAGCTAAGATGCAGCAGGATACTTTGCTGCAAAAGGAGATTACAGATTGATTTAGGATTATTCTGCAAATGAGTGATGATAATAAAGGTCAGGGACAAGAGGATGATAAGAGGTGAAGCAGAGTCAAGCAGAATCCTGGGGACCATTTGTCCTTCAGAATAACAGATAAAGAAATTGAGTGGTCACAGAAAAAAAACTGAGGCAAGCTTATCTCACCATAGCCAAGGGAGGAAGAGAAGCATAGAGAAGTGATCCACAGTGTACTGACAACAAGACAACCTCTCTGATCTAAATATGTTCTGCAACTGGGAGGCAGTGGGATGCCTCTGGTCGGGGGATCCTGTGAGCTACGTTGGCTCCTGGCTTTCACAGTGCTCATCCAGACAGTTGGAGGCATTTGGGGAGTGAACCAGCAGGTGGAAACTTCACTTCCTTTCACTTCTTCCCCACTTCTCAAATGAATGAAAAGTGCATTGTAAAAATTAAGTTCTGCAATCCCTCAAATGTGAACGGTCTGCTCTGTTTTGCCTTTTAAAAAGAAACATGTGAAGAGGACGTTTGTAACATGCAGAAATTTGTGGCAATTTTGTATATCAAAAGATATCACCTTATATCTGACAACATTATAGAAAATGTTGGCTATTTCTATAAGGTAGACATTCTAGAAAATGTCTTGGACTACATTTCCATTTCTGGATTCACCCTCATCTGTCTGTCTTTCTGTTCAAAATGAATATTTCTCAACTTCTTAAATACTTTATAAAGTTCTTGGACTCTGACAGCATCTTAGAAGCCAGAGATGATTTTTAAATATGTGAGAAGCAAAATACTCAAATGAATGAAGTGATCACAGTTAGCACCCATAAAGAGAATTAATCCTTAAAACCTTTCTTTTTAAAAACAGCTTGGAAAAAAAGGCAGGGAATGGGTTATGCAGTGGTTAATGCACTGCTTTGAGACAGCTGCATCCCATATTGGAACTCCTGGATTTAAGCCCTACCTTGCTGCCTTGCTTCTGACTCAGCACAGGGAGGAACAGATGATAGCCCAAGATTTTGGGACCCTTGACTTGTCGGAGACCCAGTTGGAGTTCCCAGTTCTGAGCTCCCATTTTCACCTTAACTTCACCTAGCCATGTCTATTGTCACAATCTGAGGAGTGAACCAGCAGATGGCAAGATCTCTGCCTATCTCTGTCTGCCTTTCAAACAAATGAGAAGATAAAATAAGAAAACAGTAACTATGGAATTGAAAATCAAAATCCTCCTTCTAAGAAACCGTGCTGTTCCAAGCAGAGTCTGTGCACGCTGCATTGCCTGCCTGCTCATCCAAGGCAGAGATGTTCTATGTTGTGTGAATGAGAGCCCTCACATTTCTGGCAGTCATCCCTTGTTCAGCCCTGGTGCTGTGCTCCGTGCAGCAGGACACACAGGGGCATCAGTATATGCTGTCGATCAGCTTGTCAGCATTCTATTTACCTTTTGCTATTATATCTATTAAAAAAATCAGAAGTTGCAGAATTACAGAGTTACAGAAAGAGATACACACAGAGAGATTTTATTGTCTCCTGGTTCACATCCCAAATGCCCCAAGATCTGGGACTGGCTCAGATCAAAGCTAAGAGCCAGAAACTCCATGACAGCCCATACACATTGAGAACATTAGTAGGGAATTGAATCAGAAGCAGAGCAGCTGGAATTGGAATTGGAATCCATACATGAAATGCCTATGTCCCAGGCAGCAGCTAACCTACTACTGTGCCACAATGCCAGCCCCATGTCATGACATCTTAAACACAATAGGGAGGAAAAATTGGAAATAAATGTACTGCAATGTGGAACAGTTGTAGAGTTTTAAAAAATGCTGACTACTGCCAAGTTAAATGGGATGCATCAGTAAAGCAGAAGGTTCTTAATTGAGAATCTTTATAAAAATATAAAATCCATCTTATGTAATGATTATTTGTTCACTCCTATTGCCAAGTATTGAGTAGGTGTTGGGTATGTAATACTGAGCGAAGAGTCTAGACAAGGCATCTGTCCTCACATACGTAAGAGAAAAGGAGAATGCGAAAGAGAATCGGAAGATAAAAAATCAGCAATTATGAAGCAAACTACTAAGGAGAAAGGCAGGATCCCCTAAGATGAGATCAGGGCCATGGGAGGGAACTGGGCAAGAGGCAGGTTGCAAAGAGGTTTCCAGGCAGAAGGAAGAGCATGTAGAAAAGCCTGAGTGTCTATGGTCCCAGAAGGAGGTGGAGTGGGAGAGCATGCACTGCCTGGGAGGCCCCGTGCTCACGACAACCATTCCCAATGGAGGACAGGAAAACTGACTCACTCTGGCTGCAGGACAAAGATCGTGCATGTGGGATGTCTGTCCAGAAATCAGGACACTAAAATTCATAAATAGGTGGGCTATGTGGCTTAGCAGTTAAGATACTGTCTTATGGAATACCTGAATTTGACCTTTGGGCCCAGCTCCTAACATCTTCTTCCTACTAATGCAGACCCTGGAATACAGTGGCGATGACTTAATTGAATCACTCTCACCATATAGGACAAGTGGCTTAGGTTCTTGGTTCTGGTTCAGCTCAGCCTGGCCCTGTTCATTGTGGATATCTAAGGATGGAGCCACAAGGTGGGAGCTGTGTCTCTGTCTCTTTCTCCCTCGGAAGAAAAGATTTAATTCATAGAGAGTATATTTAAGGTCACATAAACATACTTCAGATGATCAATGTTACGTATATTGTATCACAATAAAAACAGCTAATGTGGGCAGTAATCAGGTATTCCCTAAGCATTCAATTGCCGTGAATATTGTTCCTTCCACTTCTCAGACCAACAGGCGCTCCAGGGAGTAACGAGCAGTACAATGTGGGAATGGTCGGGACACACGGGCTGGAGACTTCTCATGCAGACACCTTCAGCAGCAGTATTTCAAGAGAAGGAACCCTGATGATCAGAGAGGTGAGTTGGTTTCAAAACTGTGGAGGAAGTACATTTCTTAAGCAGTTTTGTATTAGAAGGTGTTCTTAGCATGGAGCATGAAGGGAACCTGTACTTCTATAAGCTGGGTCATTTCAGTTGCCCACTGCCTTCTTTCCTGCAACTTTCTGTGCTTTTGCAATACAACTAAATTACATGGACCCAAACTCTTCAGTGGGGACTATGCAAATTAGAATACAGAATTTGAGCCTGAGGACATACAACTGGCAAACCCAGATGTTTCCTACAATAGGAAAACAGAAGTGAACAGTCTGTGAATACCATGTCATTTGTTATGCCTGCTCTCTCCATGGTTTTGTGTTGGAGGATTCCATTGCATACCATATTTAGTAGTTCTGAGAGAGAGTGATGTTTTCTAGTCATCTTATCTAAATTAACTGTGAAAACCATCTCACTGTTTTTAGCGAAGGTATAAAGAAATATACACATCAGTTTTAAAGTGTACCTTCTCCCTCTTATTTTTGTTGTTGTTGTTATGTTTTAACTCTAGGAACATCCTTTCATTTCTTGGGAGACACACATTCCTTTCCTCTGTCTTTCCAGCACCCAGTGACTCCCTATTGTATCTAATAGGTCCCTGAAAAATTTCCCATCATTTTTACTTTATCCTAATCCTGGAAGTTTGAGAATAATCCTTCATTTACTTGGATGAAAAAAAAAACTGTTTGACTTCTCCTTGCATTTATCTTTTCTAAAATTTCATAAATAGTAATATTAAATAGATCAATAAATGTAAGTTTTCATTCCATAACAGTTACTGATCTTATTTTACATTGTCCTTAGGATTGAAACTCTTTGGCTTCTCACCACTGCCAGCTCTTTCCTCTGACACATACACCATCTGTAACTCCTTCAATCAGCAGAGTTGGGAAACACTAAGAATGCTCTACTCTCCACAAGGGCAGAGGGTATTTCATTTTTTTAAGGAAGAGGAGAAGCATAGTTTTGAAATGAATGAGGTAATAGGTGGCAGTCGATGGAGGCAAGAAAACTATGCACAAAGCAAACTGGTAGGATTCTATCGTTTGACCTCGTCAAATCTTTTAAGCCGACTTTGAAGCTCCTTATACCTGGAATGAAAAGTGGACTTGGCTAGTGAAGTTGACCTTGTGTGTTTCCGGTGTCTACATTTCCCAAATCCATACACTTATGGATAACTTCAGCATAGCATGGAGGGTTTCTATAGCTTTTCGCTTGAGAAAACCAGAGGGACAATGTTCTGGAGTGAGTTGCCCTCTGACTCTGAAACAAAAGGACCCCAGTTTCCAACATGAGTTAAAATGTTCTCGGGTTTTTATAATAGAGTCTGTAGCTCCAAGCAGACATTTAGAGACACAATTTCTTTTCTATTTTCAGCCGTAACAGAATGTTTGAAGTTGCTAAAACATCCCCTGTTTATGACTATAATCAAACACTTTGAAAAGCAGCAGCCATTAATTTCACACAGAATTTGATCTATTGAGGACTCCAAAGCCTTTTTCAATTTCCAAAGTCTGCCCTTCCCCAAAAAATGAGTTTTTAAAATAGCAAATTGCTTCCACCAGGGTTAGCCAGAAAAACACAATAGATACATATGTATGTATCTGTAGTATGAAGAAACGGTGCTGAGTTTGGGAAGGTCAGGAAGTCTAGTGGTCTGCCACCTGCAGGGCTGCTGGTTGTATAGATCCCATCTGAAGGTTTGTAGAGAGTTGACATGTCCCAGCTCAAAATGGGAGACAGGAAAAAGAGAGGGGAGCCAATTCCTCCTCCCCTGGATTTTTCTGTTCAAGCCTTCAAAGAACAGGTTGATGTCTCTACTGAGTGCATCAATTCCAATGCCAATCCCATCCAAATACAATGCTTAATCTGGGCACTCCATTTCCTAGTCAAACAATAAACATCATAAAACCTTGAGTAGAAATGCATTAGAACTACATGTATTGGAAAAGAGGAACTTAGGTTCAAACATAACCTGACAAATAAGAAAATAAAAATTGATTATAGTAAAATTAGTTTATTGGTGCATACCACTAATTCAGTGTCCCAACACTGAACTCATTCAACTGATCATCCATTTGTTGGAAACGCTATTCTCCCTCCCCACCTACTGCCCATCTTCCAGCCATTAAATCCCTGCAGATGTGGCACAGCCTGGTCTTTCTCCTCAAAGCCTCTTCAGGACTCCATGGACCTCTGTTATCACATCCCTCTGGTGTCAGCTGGGATCTCACCAATGTATGTCCATCTCACTGAGCCACAAGACTAGCTTGTCATCATGAAGGCTCTTTTTGGTTACAAGTAATATAAAGAACCTGTCTACAATGCATGCCTGTCTTACTGCACTAACAGATACAGTATGTTTAAAATGGAAGCTAGATTCATTTCACATACTTTGATATTCATGGTGACCTTGTTTTCATTGTCTACGTCACAAAGCATCTTAATTCCTTACTAAGAGATTCAACATTACTGGTAGAAGATAAATGTGATCTCTTACATCATGTCAGTATTTTAGAACTCATGTTAGATCTGATTAATCATTGTTTTGACCTGTGAATGCTAAAGGGCCTGTGAATTGAGTAACATTGCCTCTTCGTTTTCTTAGAAGCACTTGTATGTGGGTTTTTAGTATTAATTTCATGCTACTGCCTCTTATCAGCAATATTTTAGGCTGTGCATAGGCTTGCTTCATTGTAACATGGCATTAGGATCTGTTATCCAATTCATTAATATCATATACCCACCCCAACACATACACACACTCCACAAGAGAAACTTCGAAGTATGAGTTCCACTCAGCTCCCACACCTTGTGGTGTCCCTGTCTCCTACACCATATGTGACAGAAGACCCCTACACCGTATGTGACAAAGCCCAGAGCCAATCCATGGATGAAATATGAGTACAGAGACTTGCTCTTGTTTTCATAGGTTCCTCTCATCCACACCCATATGACAGCCTTTTAGGCCCCTTTCTGATGTCCCCTCTGTGTTGTGTCCTCTTAGACATCTGGAGAGAAGAAGCGATCTGGCCACAGTGACAGCAATGGCTTCGCTGGCCACATCAACCTCCCAGACCTGGTGCAGCAGAGCCATTCGCCAGCAGGGACACCAACGGAGGGCCTGGGCCGTGTGTCTGCCCATCCCCAGGAGATGGACGCAGGAACTGAAGTAAGTGCTGTGCGGTGGCCCTGCAGTGCTATTCTGCTCCACGATTCTAAAATCTCACTCTCTTCAATAATGAGGTCTTGCCAAGCCCCCTGAAACATACTTTGTTAGTTTCTGCTATGTTCATGAAGCTGCGCTGTGTTTATGTGAACAAAGAAATCATCGAAGCAGAGCTGTAGAAACCTCTGTCATATCATCCGGACCCAAATCTGTTTTTATAGATGGGAATACCGCACTCAGAGAGGTCCAGTGACTTGCCTAAAGCATACTGCTGTTTGTTCATAGAGCTCCAGCCACAACTGGGACCTCCTGTCTTCCAGGACAGTGACAGAAGGTTGAGCAACTTCAAAGCCAACAGTGGAGGTTCATATTTAAATAAAATTAATGACACTGTGTTTGACTTGAATGAAGGGAGGTTTCAATGATTTCCTTAAGCTCATTTACAGTATTCATAGATAGGTTCTTGAAGTGTTCAAGCTGCTCGGCTCCAAGCAGTGTGAGAAGGAGAAACAAGGACAGTGGTATGAGAAGCCTAAATATGCTCAAATGTTGAGCAGTGCCCCTAAACATTGTTGAATGAGATGTTGCATCAGTTCACATGATAAAATGCAACCTGTACTCCAAAATGTGATATTCTCACTACAGCTCTGATCGTCTGATAGCTAGTTCAACCCTACCAATGCACAGCAGCTATAGAACAACCAGTACCAGGAGGGGCTGGGAAGAGGTGCCTTGCTTTGACTCAGTAGTTCGTGTATGGACAGTGAAACCCAGCAAAGACTCTGTGATCAGTCTTAAACCCAGCAAACACCTTTAGACTGTTTGCTGCTGCAGTGTCTATGGATCTGTTCAGCTTGGTCCTCTTGCTTATTACCAGTACGGCATGGGGAGCAGCACCAAAGCCTCCTTCACGCCCTTTGTGGACCCCAGAGTGTACCAGACATCTCCCACTGATGAAGATGAAGAGGATGAGGAATCTTCAGCTGCAGGTAAGCCAGGAGGCCCCAGTGTTATACAAACAGCTTGCTTTTTTTTTCTTTTGGAAAAGAAAATGGAAATTAATTTTCCATTAAATTTCCTTAATATGAAAATTAATCATCAATTCAGTAGGTAAGCCATTTACTGCCTGGTCCTTATCTTAAAAGGGAAGGCTTCTATGGTTTTTTTTTATATGTAATTCATAAAGCAAATTTTTGCTTCCTTTTCTTTTTTTCTTTTTTCTGCTTTACTGTGGCTAGGAAGCCAGAGGTATCCAAGAACTTTAGGAAAAGCTGTTCTTCAGCGACCTATGAATTCACCATCTATTTCCCAAAAGCAGTTTCTGGGTATAAACCTATGCACGCAGTAGATGCCTAATGATTGTGTGTTGTGTTGAGTTTGAGGTGTGTGCTTCCCATCACGCAAGTCTGGCTGATTTAGAGGACAGTCTTGCTTTCTAGAATTCTGCAACTAACTAATCTTCAAAATCAGCTCAGGCCGGTTTCTTAATTGATGTGAGATTATAAAAAGCAAGTATTTCTTGTGTTTATTACAAGACGTTGTGATGGTCTATTGAATTTTTTATGTAATATTAAAAATCCTAAACATGCGAAATAACGTTTATAAGCCTGTCTTGTCAGTAGATAGAATACCGCTTCTATGAATGGCTTGCAGTTTATGCTACTAAAGATAATTGAAAAGGAAACAGTCTCGGATTGTCTGTGCCTTCACTGTTAACACACACTAAACAAGGAGGAGCAACAGTGTTCCGATGCCGATGCTCCATGTCTTCATCGCTTGTCTTGTAAGATGCCACTGATGTCTCCGATTCTTTTTCTTGAAGCTCTGTTTACTAGTGAACTTCTTAGGCAAGAACAGGCCAAACTCAATGAAGCACGGAAGATCTCAGTGGTGAATGTAAACCCAACCAACATTCGGCCTCATAGTGACACACCCGAAATTAGAAAATACAAGAAACGATTCAACTCGGAAATACTTTGTGCAGCTCTGTGGGGTATGTTGGTGCTCTTATTTGATTTACTGCTTAGTAATGAATTGACCCTCGACCAGGAGAAGCTTGTGAATGTTACCTGGTTGGATCGTAGATACTACAGACTTCATCTCAGAGGTCTGTGACCTCAGAGAGGCTAAAGGCGATTGTATACATAGAGCTGATGCCTCAAGATCCAGGATGACAAAGACAATGACAGTTTTATGTCAATAACAGAATAAGCTGCCACTTAACATGTGTATCCAGGCACTGTGTGCTATATCCCACATTGTGTCTCTGTGGTCCATATAATTCCTGCAATGGGAATCCTGGCCATGCCATGATTGCATAGCCGAAAATCCAGCCCAGTGCCTTTTAGTGAGTTGCTCAAGACTGTGTCGCTGGCGGTGAAAACAAAAAGAAAAGGGAAAGGAAAAAGAAAAAAAAAAGCTTGAAGTAAGGACAAATAAGGCACAATTCCTTACAGTTCAAAACTTTGACCTGCAGTTCTTGTGGAAAAGACCTACAAGTTTTAACTGACTTCAAAATTAGCACAGATGTAATGTAATTCTATCCAAGCCCTGTGTTACTGCTGATACCATGGACAGATCAGGAAGTGTGTGACCCATCCAGACCCACTGAAAATGCTAGTGCCGGATTGGGCTACATACTTTTAAAAGGCCAAAAGCATAAGGTGTTAGAGGGGAGAGTACAAGCCTAGAAGGCCATTAAATGAGAGGTTCTGCTCTAGAGAGGAGACAGAAGAGAACAAGGCAGCCATTTAATATTGGAAGGCTTGATATGTGAACAAAAGGGTAGACATTTACCTTGCTCAAGTAAGGGGGTTTAGAGAGCTGCATGTTCATGAATATAGTCAACTGCAACCTGTCAATGTATGAATACATGTGTTGGAGTGATAGCTGATTAACTTCCCTAGAGGTTAATTGTAGGATTAAATGTCTCTGGGGAAGACTATCTACGTACAAGAAGTTTTGAAAAAGGAATTACTGCATGGAAAAGTTATATCTAAATACCTGCAAAATATCTTAAAGTCTATATTTCTGTGACTCCTCAACTATTAACACTTTCTCTTGAACTATTTATCATTCTGTAGGAAAAACAGGAGCAAAACCTTGATGATATGGCATACAGAATAGCTAAATTTTGGTATGAGAAGGACGAAGGGCTTTTCTTCCAACTTGTTATGGAAATAGAAATTAGAAACCCTATCCTGAAGGTTACTAGTGTGGAACTCCTTCTTCAATAGGTGTGAGGATAGATGTTAAAAGAAACGGGTTTCTTAGGGAAAGCCAAGAAAGAGGTGGTTGTCACAGCAAAGAGATAGAGACATGGGTGTAGTTGAGCCTCCTTTTGACAAGGAGTCTCCATACAGGCTAATAAACAACTGGATGTAATGAAGGCTTCTACCACTTTACAAAAGAAAACAGCAATGTCCTTACCAGAGGGTCTGTGACTTGATTCCCTTGACAGAACTTCTACATTCCCTGCTACAGCACCTACTCACCCACTAAGTAATATTGACAAGACACAGTTTGTTATATTTATGAGTAACACAGAGCCAGAGGGCTAAAGCTACTCAAAGTCAATCTTGTGTAACTTGTTTGTAGGTGTAAACCTTCTAGTGGGGACTGAAAACGGCCTGATGCTCTTGGACCGAAGTGGGCAAGGCAAAGTCTACAATCTGATCAACCGGAGGCGATTTCAGCAGATGGATGTGCTAGAAGGACTGAATGTCCTTGTGACAATATCAGGTATGTTGCCAGGATGACTGAACTCTCTTAGTCTGCACCGGTGGGCAAAATGATCACCTCATTTCTGAAGAAACGGTAAACTCTGTGCTTGCAAACTGAAAAACAACACGGTAAGTTACAGCAGTACGGCTGGAGTGGGGTCTCTGGGGTTTCTGACTGCCCAAGAGAACTCTCACTTCTGCAGCAAAGCTGAGTTGGGCAGAAACCTTTCACAAAGGTTATTTATTTGTAGGCTTTTGTCAGGATTCAGCAACAAACCTTTTAAGATATCTACACTTCAGTTATGACCAGCTGAAGAATATCAGAATGTAAGCCTCTGAGAGGAAAATTTAGTTAAGCAGAAATTCATCTGGACTCTGTTGCTTGTAGTACAAGAACTTCCTTTGCTCATATAGTTCCTGACTTTTTCACAAGTGCAACTGACCTATTGGATGAGCATCATAGCACTGAAGCATGCTATAATCTTTTTTCTGGTTCCTAAAAGGAGCACTAGAAAATAAATATGGATGGAGCAGGCATTTCGCATGGTGATTAAACCATCACATGGGATACTCAAATCCCATATTAGAGTACTTGGGGACAAGTCATGGTTCTATCCCAAGTTTTCTTCCTGCCGATGCATACCCTGGTAGGCAACAGTAACAGATCAAGTAGTTGGTTCTTGCCACTCAAGAGAGCCTGAACTGAGTTCTTGGCTCCTGGCTTTGGCCTGGTGCAGCCTTACTATTGTGGGCACTTTTGAAATAAACTGACAGATGAAACTCACTTGCATATATGCATTCTCCTTCATTAATTAAAAAAAAATAGACAAAGATGAAGTCTTTATTTGATTACTCTATTGTGAAAAGAGAAACCGGGAGGAGTCTGTGTTACTAAAGGCCTTTTGCTTTCTGGTGGTCTTTGATGGTCTGAGGGTGTTCTCTTATTGCATCCACTATGAGCCATCGCTACTCCTATTCTTTAGAACCTCCTGGGAAGATAAGAAGATCCAGGCCAGGGTCAGACCTGGAGTGGTACCCATGTGTCAGCAGGTTTCATAGCTCCAGATGTGTCCATTGTACAGCCAAGTTTGAGAACGTGGCTCTGTGCTCGGCCACTGTTTCTCAGGGAGACAACACGGGTTGAACTCTGAAGAAAGTTTTAACACCTCGAGGAGCCAGCTGTACTTTTGTTGGAAGGAAATGTCTTCCATTATTCTTGTAATTCCCTCTTTCTTTTAACTTCGCACTGAATGCTTGGCATTTTCAGCTCTTTTTATCCTCCCCAAATAAAGGCTAACTAGGTGATTTCTTCTTGTATTATCGGAGTTAAGTTCTTGTGTAGTCTTCTTCCAGTTAATTGCTGTCTTGATTGCTGCACTACTAACTGGAAACTAAAACCACCTGACTGCCCATCACCTATCAAAAGTGCAGTCTACCAGCAAATGTGGTCTTGATTATGTTGTGACAGTCTCCCCTTCCTCATGGTGGAACCATTTCCATTTCCTCCTCTCCTGAGGCACAGATAGGGAAAGGAGAAAACGAAAACATGAGCAAAAGATTTTTGAACCACCCTGGCTTTCCTGCCCACTCAGGAGCTATAAATATTCTCGACTTCTGGCTATGAAAACTAACGGTGACACATTGACCATCTTCATTTACATTCTGAATGTACTCTTATTACATCTAGTGTGCATTGCTTTAACAAATTTTCTTCTGGCGTACATCACGTCTTCAAAATATAAAACATCTCTAAAGCCGGAGAGATCAAAGGACATTGACTTTGTAAAATGTAAAACCTACAGACTAACATTACTTGTCACCGAAGCAGAGCTACCCCCAAGGGCATTTTCTTCCCCGAGGCTCAGACAAGCTAGTGAAGTATAGCAGCCTTTGTTCCATGTATAGTCTTCAGTATTCTCTTGATGCTTTCTTCTCCCCCTATGTATTCTTTACTTCAAGATTATGCCATCATGTTTTTCAAATTTGTATATTTTGCTTCCTTCTGTATTATTCATTTCAATGTTTTCAGCACACAAACTTGTCTAGTTCTATTTTCTGAACCCAGATTACCTTCCATGAACTTCTTTCTATTTCCCTTAAACTTTTCTTTTTGCTACTTAAAACCACTCTAGTGATTTTAACAACAGAGGAAGTGAGTAAGACTCTCTGCGCCACCATCTGCCATTGAGTTAGGGAGTATAAAGGTTAGTCAGACACCAAGAGCATGCACATATGTCCAGCTGCCAGCAATCCTCTCGTGATGAGGTTGAGAATGTTCTGGAACTCTGGTTGGTCATTCTTCCTTAGAGTTAGGTCTGAGTTTAGCAGATACTGATGTCTTTTTTAAAAAGAACAAAAAGCAGCTAAATGCATATTCTGTGTTATGTCCAGAACTCTTGGAAATTTTTATTATAATGACAGGTCCTGAGAAAACAGGCCTCTTTGATGAGAAATGCTGTGGACACTAATTATTATGCCTTTAAAAACACACATTACCACTCACATACCCAAATAAGAATAATTAACAGGGGTACAGAGGATAAAGGAAAGGACATGGCAAGGACTTGAAATGAAAGCTCTATTTTTGCAACAGGAAAGAAGAACAAGCTACGAGTGTACTATCTGTCATGGTTAAGAAACAGAATACTACACAATGACCCAGAAGTAGAAAAGAAGCAAGGCTGGATCACCGTTGGGGACTTGGAAGGCTGCATACATTACAAAGTTGGTAAGTCTCAAGACATGGAAGTATTAACTTTGGTATGTTTACTAGTCAAAATTATTCCTTTAATTTTCACTCCAGCTTTTTGTTTTTGTTTTTGTTTGTTTGCTTGCTTTTTAAAAGATTTATTTATTTATTGGAAAGTCAGATATACAGGGAGGAGGAGAGACAGAGAGGAAGATCTTTCCTCCGATGATTCACTCCCCAAGTGAGCACAATGGCCGATGCTATGCCGATCCGAAGCCAGGATCCAGGAACTTCTTCTGGGTGTCCCACACAGGTGCAGGGTCCCAAAGCTTTGGGTCCTCGACTGCTTTCCCAGGCCACAAGCAGGGAGCTGGATGGGAAGTGGAGCTGCCGGGATTAGAACCGGCACCCATATAGGATCCCGGTGCGTTCAAGGCGAGGACTTTAGTCGCTAGGTCATGCCGCCGGGCCCAATGTTTTTGCTTTTTTCATATTGGTGACGAACATGTAACCTGTATGTAACTGGAAATTTGCCGTCTGCTGGCAGTTGGCAGGAGTGTGTGTGTGTGTGTGTGTGTGTGTGTGTGTGTGTGTGTGTGTGAAGCTGCCTGGCGTGTAGCCTCTGAGCACTGCATGGATTGGAGTCTTGGGGGCTCAGTCCAAGTGAGTTTTTCACAGTGGCCATGCCACCAGGGTACAGTTTGTGCTGCTGCTCTCCTGCCGTCTCTTTGGAGCTGGGACTGAAAAGAGCAACTCTTTTCTGACTGATTGCTTCAATGAGACTTTTCTCATCACAGAATGAGGCCCTGTGGCCTCCCTCCTGGATGCTATGGCTCCTGCGAAGGTGGCTTGCTTTGCTGGGACTTCTTAGCAGCAATACTAAAAGCTGAGAAGACAGGGGCACAAGGGGTTTAAAATTCTGAAAGCAAAATTATTTCTAAGTAACATTTTTAAACAAACCTGTGTTAAGATTTTCATATAGTGATCAACTTATATTAGTACATTTCAGGCAGATTTTCGAGAAAATGAGCACTTCTTATCTGTAAACACAATCCTGTTTGCATTGATCTCCAGCCTGGCACAGTACTAGGTTTACACATAACAGTTTTGAAGTGTGAAGAAACAGATATTCAAAGAACACAGCGTTATTCCCAAAGGAGACCACAAGGGGGAGTGTCTTTACGGCAGCCTGATGGGATAGAAGCTATTATCTGCTCCACTGCACATTTTTATTAGGGAATCAGAATTATGTGATAGTTTCCAACAGGATAGTCTGCAATTCCAATTTTCTTCTTGTCTTCATTATGATTATTTGGCAAAATGCCAAACATGCGTCTCATCTTCAAACACCACGTACAACTTGGGTTCATATGCATTGTCTGGTGCTCTTCTGGAGAGAGCAGATTTCTTTCTTTTTTAAAAAAAAGGCCTTGAAACTATGGGCTGTACAATTGTGTTTATGGACAAAGTTAAAATTGTTTCTAAATGCTTCTCTGATAAAGTTGTTCTGTAAGCTGCAGACATCCAAACCAGCATTGGCCCTTATGTTTCTGCCCTCTCCTTTCTAATCATTCCTCTCTCTGCATTGTCATGATGTCATTGAGCTGACATGTGTCCGCACGTGGCAGAGTAAAAGGCAGCGTGACAGCTGATCACCATAAATCACAAAATTGAAGTGCTGCAATCTCCAGTTATCCACATAACCATTTGCAATCATCATTTTAATTTCCTTGGAGGATTTCAGCCATGACAACCCAGGGACCGTCCTGCAGCACACGATCATCCCAGCATAGTCAGATCCTCATGAAATTACAAAATAAGAACACAATGAGGGCCCGGCGTGATGGCGCAAACGGTAACGTCCTCGCCTTGCACACCCGGGATCCCATATGGGCGCCGGTTCTAATCCCGGCAGCCCCGCTTCCCATCCAGCTCCCTGCCTGTGTCCCGGGAAAGCAGTCGAGGACGGCCCAAAGCTTTGGGACCCTGCACCCACGTGGGAGACCCGGAAGAGGCTCCTGGCTTCGGATCGGCATAGTATAGGCCGTTGTGCTCACTTGGGGAGTGAATCATCGGACGGAAGATCTTCCTCTCTGTCTCTCCTCTCTGTATATCTGCCTTTCCAATAAAAAAAATAATAAAAATAAATCTTTAAAAAAAAGAAAAAGAACACAATGAAATCAAACAGCGTAAGAGTCATTTAAAATACTTGTCTCATTTCATCTCTAATATATACTTGATAAGTGTTGATTCTCAAGGCTATTTTACATTTTAATTTTGACTCTTTTCCTGGGTTTCCAAGTTTCTCTAAGACCTTGAAGATGCCATAAAGAGTTCCTGTCATGAAAAATCATCCAGGAACAACTGAAAATTTAACATGTTGTCTAAGTCAATTATGACTTTCCCTGCCAAATCTCTTTGGGACTTAGGCTATTTGATTTGTTCAGATATTTCATGAAGTAGATGACTGTTTTTCCAAAGTTTCTAAGAAGTAGAATCCACATGAAATAGTGAAACACCCAAAAGCCATCGCAAGGATCCTGTAAGCTCTCACGTAATCACTCTGAATCTTGACCACTTTCCCAGCGGAGGCACATGGGCAATGGCAGTCATGACAGTGCTGGATGAGAGTCTGTGTTCTTTCATGCAGTCGTTCAGTGTCACTTACTGAGCACTGCTTTGTATCTACTTTAGGAAACTTCATATTGAGCTCCACTTCCTAAGGCAATGAAAGAATTTGTCAAAGTATATAGGACCCTTTAAACTGGCCATTAACACAGTTCAGCAACCCCAATATTTTCTCACTAGAAGCATAAGCAATTATTTAAGGCTAGAGTTCAAATTTGAGTAATAAGCAAATGACATTTTTTTATGTCTCTACTTGCTTGTTATTTTTTTCTATCGTCTTGTTGTAATAGCTTTCAGCTACTTACCTGGGAATGAGCAGAAAAGCCAGTTCAGCTAACAAAAAGCAATGTTTGCAGATGAGCAATACAATGAATACTGATGTCTAGACTGGGAGCTAAAGAGAGTTCTAAGCAGTCAGAGCCCAACATGAGGAGAAGCACGTTGAGTACCGAACATCCCCAGTATTCTGCCAACCAAGTACACTAAATCCCACACCAGCCACATCACGTTTAACTCTGAGTGTGTGTTTGTGTGTTGTGGTTTACATATTCATTCACGTGTGAAAATCACTTGAATCAACTGATGTGCTTTTTCATAATCTTTCTACTACAGTTAAATATGAAAGGATTAAATTCTTGGTGATTGCCTTAAAGAATGCTGTGGAGATATATGCTTGGGCTCCTAAACCATATCATAAGTTCATGGCATTTAAGGTAAGCAGGCATATGCTTGTCTATTTTTTTAATATTCTGCCAGTTAAAGTATGCTGTGTTCCACGAAACAGTAGTTGTCATATGAATAATAAACCTGTTTCAAAAGTATAGATACTCCTAGATTTATTATTTTTAAAGTAAAGGTTAAGAATTTTAAAAATCTATTAAAGTATTCAAAATCACAGCTTCTATATCTGCCTGTATTTCAGAGGTATAGGTCATCAAGTTCAAGAGGAATTTAATGTGGGATAGTTACTGGATAAGTATTGCTAATGACAGTATTCAATGCTTATTGTCAACCTGCCTGAGCTGGGGTGTGCTGATATTTTGTCTGAAAGCGCAGGCTGGTGACAGCACTCAAAAATTGAACTGAGTCTTACAAATTCTTCTGCAAAGTTACTAAAATTTAGTGATACTTATTTATCCTCACTGCTGTTAGAGTTCTCTGAAATGAATGCTGGATGGGACCTAGTTTCTCTTTATTCTTCTACTTCAAATGCCTTTTCTTTTTTTTTTTTTTTTTTTTTTTTTGCCTTATCTGAATCTGTAGCCACTCTGATTGAACTGGTCTCACATGATTCAACAGCAGTGGGATATGGATATGCTAGTCTTATTGACACCAGTTTGTGAAAGTTGACCCCGACATGCTGGAAAGATCTCTACTTGCTGACACCCTAATGTGTTCAGGGCTGCATAGCAAGTCTGTTCACAGCCCATGTGAATTTGCTATTTTGTCAGTTCCTCCATATCTCATTGGCACTCACTGTTTCTCCCTTTGGCTCTTTATTCATTATTCCTTCCACCGAAGGCATGTGAGAGAGAGACTGCCCTTGGGCCATTACGCAGGTCTTCTTTGTGGATCATTTGAGATGCGCTCAGGAAGACAGACTCATTCAAGGGGCTCACAGCCATAGCCCCACTTTCATGAAATAAAATTTCTGGAATATATAATTAGTGATAACACTTAGAAGATGAGTCCCAAAAGCTAAAGTGGTGCTGCTCTTCTGCCAACATCTGTCTCTACAAAGAGATTTTTAATCAAGGTCATTCTGTTGCTACTCTGGTTCTGAAGTTTCTGTTACTGTATTAGCCAAAGTACGTGAGACTGCAGAAAGTTCTGTTCAGTAAAGCAGACCGAGCCTGGAAACAAAAAAGAACAAAGGCAAGAATTTGAAGCAGGACAAGAATTAGCAAGAGGTCCAAGCTTTCCCTAGGACCAGGTCAGGAAGCCAGCGACTCCCATGTTGAGAATATGATACTAGCAAATGATGCAGAGTGAGGAGTCTGTACATGCCCAAGGCAGCTATGGTTTCTCACATCTCCAAGATCTCAAGAACCCATAAAGGAGCCTTAAAATAATGGCGAAAGCAAAAATTTTACTTCCAAGCACACAGAACCTTGACAAGCCTGGCTAGAGCTTTCTTTGTTTCTTCTGCAGCTGAATTCCAGCAGCCAGTGCAGGCCAGGGGTTTTGTGATGTTCCACCTCCATCTTTATCACAACACTGAGTTTAGAAATGGCACAGTTCTGATGTCCACTGAATCTCTGAAAGATGTCATACCCAGAACATGCCCTTTAACCCTCAGGAAACTGTCCCACCAAGGCTGTCAGATGGGCTTGATGGCTGTGTGCCACAAACGGCCCAGAGAGGTGTCTGCACTTTGTCCAGAGGGCAAAAGGCAGTTAACAGCTGTACCAGGCACCACAATTTTTACTCTAGAGTGGAACTACCGAATTGACAGCTGTAAACTTTCATCCTGTCCCTAGAGATGGGAATGGAGGAAGAGGCTTGGATGAGTGCTCTATCCTTTCTGCCTGGAGCCAGAAGATGAATAGTTCTAAAAGTTAAAGAGAGATTTCCCACCTCTTCAATCTAAGATAATGTCTAAAGGAAGAAAGCCATTAAGATAATGTTTGTGGATGGTGTGGGTACTCATGGGGTGATTTTTAAAGTCTTTTGCAGATCTCCAGCACAAGCCCCTGCTAGTTGATCTCACAGTAGAAGAAGGTCAAAGGTTAAAAGTTATTTTTGGCTCCCACACTGGTTTCCATGTAATTGATGTTGATTCAGGAAACTCTTATGATATCTACATACCATCTCACGTAAGTTCCCAGAGCAGAATTGCTGTCTGTGTAACAGTGCACATATGGAAAGGGATTTGTGTCTGTTCGGGAATCAGGCTTTTACTAATCAGTAAAGCACATGGAACTTTGACTCTTGCTGAGTAAACAGAATGCTTTTCATAATAAAGGCATGTGGATTTAACTAATCTTTATGACTGTGCAAAACTGGGTAACATGCAATAGAGTTCCTTAACACTTTGGAGACATGAGATTAAAACCTTTTGATATTTTTTGTCAGGGCAAAAATGTGACATAGTAGTTCATTTTTTTAGTTTCTAAAAGAACAGTTTATTTTCTGTGGAAGAAACCCCAAGCTCATAAAATAATTTCTTGCAGAAAGTCTTGCATCCACTGTTTTCATTTTAGCTTGAGTATGTTATAGAACAACGAGGCATGGAAGCGCATACCCTGGCTTGATAGCAGGTGTCAGCTTTGTAATAATGGGTACCTTAGGTAGCCTCAACTTTCACACCTTAAAATGGGGACAAAAGGACCTGTACCAAAGAGTAATCATCAACTGTAAATAAGGTAATGGATCCAAGATATTTGGCACAGAGCCACCCAAATTGTTCTTCTTTATTATCTAGTAGTCAAGTCACTGTAAGGACACACTCCTCAAACGCAACTGTTAAAGGGAAATCTGTGATACATCTGCTTATTAGAATTGATAGAGTGTACGCTGTATGTCACAGGCAAGACTGAGAATCTGTTGCTGACTCTTATTGTGAGAATTTGATAACATCAAGAGCTACATGAACTGTAATACCTTGTTTTAGTACCTTATGCACACACACAGAGTTGTCATTCATTGCTGTGTGTATTATAGCGTATCTGCATGTGCACACAAGGAATGGCAGTGTGTGCTCAAGTGCCAGCCAGGCAGCACTGTGTCCATCCTGTCATCTCATTCCTACTCCCACATGTACACTGGGCTGCTGTGACAGACCCACCCAGGAGGTAACAGCGGCACCAGGATGCTTTTCCTAGTAAGAGGACATTCATACGTACAATGGGATTTTGAAATGACTGGTTAATTCCAAACTTTTTTTTCTGAAAGAGTCATTAACTTGGATTATTCCAGTAGGCACCGAGATAAATGATCTGTGTTATATACTCACAGCCTTATCTGGCCACAGTCCATCTGGGCACCCCATTTAGGCCAACTCCATCAGATTAGCTGGCTCATGTGCTCCTCATCATTTGGGAAGTAGCTGTGCTAATGGAAAACTCAAAATTTCTTTATCAGTAATGCATATGCTGAGCTCTCAGTTCCACTATGAAGGACTAGCACAGCTTTGATCAAGTTACCTAACCCGTATAAAACGCAGCTTGAGCAATTACAAAGAAATCTACCATGGGGAACTCCTCTAGGGGTCAGAAACTACCTGAGGGGCTCCACAAAGTTCATGGGAAATGGGATTCAAGGATAATGAGGCTTTTGAAGGCTTCTGGGGTGTAGACAGCTCAGTGGTTGCTTTGGAAGCTCCATGGATGGTGATACTTTCTAGGAAAAGGGAAATTGGATTTCCATCATGGAACTACATTTGTATGTAACAGGGTATTTGACAGATCTGTGGTTAAATGAAACAGAATTAATTTCAATCTCTAGAGTTAAAATGGAAGGAAACACTTTGTTACTGCAGTTGTTAGCGAAGACAAGTCAAGCTGTTGTCTTATTTTGTAATAAAGTTTTAATGCTTGGCTTTTCTTTGTCTTCTAGATTCAGGGCAATATCACTCCTCATGCTATTGTCATCTTGCCTAAGACAGATGGAATGGAAATGCTTGTTTGCTATGAGGATGAGGGGGTGTACGTGAACACCTATGGCCGGATAACAAAGGATGTGGTGCTCCAATGGGGAGAAATGCCCACATCTGTGGGTAGGTTAACCATTCCTTATCTCCTTCAGCAGTTACATCCCCCAAATGAAACGAAAATCAAGAAATGTGAAACAACCATTTGATTCCACAAAAAAAAGTCTGTGAATAACACTTGTAAGACTTGCTTTGTCTGTTTATCTCAAGTCTTTTGTCATTTTTGTGGTTAAGATGTGTACAAATGCTGTGAGTTATTGCCTATCTAATGTTTTTAATGCAGTTTTGGAAATTCCTTTTGACAGCCTACATTCATTCCAATCAGATAATGGGCTGGGGCGAAAAAGCTATTGAGATCCGGTCAGTGGAAACAGGACATTTGGATGGAGTATTTATGCATAAGCGAGCTCAAAGGTTAAAGTTTCTATGTGAAAGAAATGATAAGGTAAATCCGTTTCAACATTTGCATTAGTGTTTGCATTTTAAGAGACCACCAGGTACCTGTGAAACCTTCATTTTCCTTTATACTGATTTGAATCACATCTGTGTTAAAACAATATAATCTGAAATGGCATTATTTGGTTTTGATTCATGTGAACACTCCAAATATATTACTCACACAATGAAAAAGACGTGAAAATATATAGAGATTTCTTGTAAACTCCTAGTAACTTCTGTGGCCTGCAGGCCATCTGATGACTTAGCACAAGGCCCAAATTAGCTGAAGCACCTAGAGCAGCTGGCCCGTCGTTAATCACCTTACAATGGGTCAACTTCATATTCTATGTTCAGAATGTTCACAGAGTCACCGTGGGACCTAACCCATCATGTTCCATTTACCTTTCACTGTGAAATATTTGATGCAGAAATGTAAAGCAAAATGTCACCCATTCCTTAAGGAATGCACAATCACAAACTCAACTAGTGCCATGTCCTGTGTCATTCCAGTCATGTTTCCTCTGAAATGTCATAGGGGGACTGTTTTCCAGTGATGTTGGCATGTTTCCAGTCATGTCTGGCATGATCAGTCACCTCTAATGGGTACTCTGCCACAGTGCCCTCCCTATAGCATAATCTAGACTTTTTAGTAGCTAAGCTGTAGTACATTTGTGAATACATCCTTTGTGACTGTGGCCAAAATAGAGATGCTGTTCCCTAAACAGCAGATGTGTAAAAAAAATGTGATGAGTTGAAGTATTATGTATGTATCATGTAGCCTACTTCAGTTCCGCAGGGGCCAGGCAGCTGTAGAGCCTATTGGACCCCAGGCAACAACTCTGACCTGGTGTGATCTGGGATAGACAGCAGTTGTGGGTTTCCAAGATGGTTCCAGGGACTCAATAGGGTCCCACTCCAGTGCCCACTGAGTCTCAAAAACCATAGGGCTAGGAATCATCTGGTCATGAATACCCACGCTAGCTGGCCTGTTCCAAGTTGCGTTACACACTCAGCAGTAGCTGGGATCACACCAGTGTCTAGAGCCCGAAGCTTAGGGCTCAGCACACACAGATTAGAGAGAATGGCAGCCCCTATATTTTGCTTGTTATGGTTTTCCACAGGTCCTCTCCATCCCCCCCCCCATTTTGATTCTATGAATAGCTTTACTTCCATATGTAGCATTAAAAAACATTTCCACCAACTTCCCAAGAAGCTGTTGTTGTTGGAAAAGGGCATTATTCTGAAGTTGTGGAGATGATGTAGCAGAGACTTTATACTAGTGACAAAAAGTAAACGCTTTGGACCAAAGTTAGGTGTTGGCTGACTGAAGGGCTATGCCACGGCCCCAAATATTTTCCAGGGCAGTGGTTCATTTTCATTCAGCTCAAGCAAGCAGTAACCCAAATATTGCTCATTTCTCTTAGTTGTTTGCTCAAATGATTTAGCAGACGCAGACCTAATGGACTGTGTCTCTCCTTATTGATGTCATTATCTCACATGGCCTAGGATCTGCCAGCATCAGCAGGGCCATGTGTTAACTCTTGACATGCCAAAAAGAACTGGTACTAACCACCTGATCCTATCTGACCATGACCATTTCAATGTGTGTAATAGCCAATAGGCTCAAAATTTCCCCCTTGATTTCAGGCATTTGAAAGGATTCCGTTCCCTGCTGCAGTCTGCCTTCTTGTTAACAGGAGACAGAGAGAGAGCCTCTGTGCCTTTCCAGAAACTAACAAAGGACCTACTGCGTTCTAGGTCAAAGATCAGGATGCTCTCTTAGCAGGAAAATTCCCTTTCAAAATCTGAGCACCCAAAGGGACTTCAAAAATAGCAGAGCCCCTTCAGTGTCCTGGAGGCCAATGCCACGCTGAGCAAAAGCATGACAATCCTATGTCATAAAAAGTGAGAGTGTTTCCATAGGATGCACTGTATCAGAAGGCACCTTACCAACACCAGCCTTTGGCACATGACAAGGATAGGACGTGTTGAAGAAAAGAGGGGGAAAACCCATGCAGTTGAACTAACTTCTTTTTAATTTCAAACAGGTATTTTTTGCATCCGTGCGATCTGGAGGAAGTAGCCAAGTGTTTTTCATGACCCTCAACAGAAATTCCATGATGAACTGGTAACAGAAGAGCACTTGGCACTTATCTTCATGGCATTATTTCTAATTTAAAAGAACATAACTCATGCGGACTGATGCCAGTCTAGAGGCAGAATCAGAAGGCTTGGTTGAACATACAGCTTTCCCCTCTTCCTCTCCCTCCACCCCTCCCAACCGTCCGTCTTTTAGTGTTGCAGCCTGGTTGAGAAGGAGAGAAAAAGGTGGCAAGAATTTCCAGGAGATCCCCAAGAATGCTGCGATGGCTACAAAGATGGACCACATGCCCTTCGGAGTTAGGGATAGGGACAGTTACTATGTGCTGTTATGATTAAGCTGTGTTATGATGGGTTTTGATTTTTTTTTTTTTTTACTTTGCCCCCTCACTTTGTAAGAATGGGGAGATGCATACTGAGAAAATAAGTCAGTTTTTAATTCTGTCTGCCTGCTAGTTGTAAGTATATGGTATTGTAAAAACCAAAATTCCGATCTACAATGGTGAGAGACAGCACAATAAACAGTACCTTATCTCCTTACCCTGAAGGCCATAACTGCAGAAAGGGGTAACTTCAGAACTCTTGCCTTCACCAATTCAGAAGGTTGCTTTTTCACAGCAACTGGATAAGGAATTTTTAAGAGAAGAAAAATATTAGTTTTCCCCTCTTTTGGGAAATAGATTTTAAATGGCTAAACTACTAGCCTTAATCTAATTTAAAAAAAAAAATCAACTACTACTTTTGTGAGTCTGGAGGGCCATGCTTTTACATGGCCCTTTATGCGACAGTGTGTTGAATGGGACAGGAATGGCATTGAAGTGAGTTGGCCTAGCAATAGAGGGACTCTAAAACAACGTTCCCTCAGCTCAGTACAACAGATCAGGGAAGAGACGTGATGGAGGATGAGGTCAGACAGAAAGAGCGACTAGGAGAACAAGCCTACACACACACACACATGCACGCACACACACACACTCGCACTCACTCACACTCACTTTTGTAAAATGCACAAAGCCTCCTGTTAAAAGGTCACTTGGTTTGGGCTTCGTTAAGACCAAGACTGTTCTGAGAATTGGGGAGTAGATGACATCCGGATTCTGGACATTCTCAGCTCTCTTCTGAAGGTGCCACTTTCTCAAGATGGAAACTGTGACGGAACAAGATGAATAATAATAAACATTTCTGAGCTGCCTGTGTTCTGCCTGGGTCCGTGAGAGAAGGAACTAGACTCCTTAGCCTGCTTCAGGCACGGCAGGCAGTGTTGCCTCAAATTTTAGAGAACTTGAAAGCAAGGCTTTGGCCAAAATTCTGAGACCCTGTATCACTTTACCTTCCTCCAAATTATCCAACATCCGGTAAACATTTGTGCAGAGATATGTATGTATTTAGTTCAGGTTGACTTACGTCCTTATAAACTCTTACTCAAATGATTTGAACTTCTACGTGATTGTCTTGGATTTTTTTTTTTCCAAAGCTACAAGCATGGCCGCCCATGGTATCCAGGTGTTGTAAAAACAATATCTGTGTTGCGCTTCCTGTTTTAACCTACCTCGTTTTGTTTGTTTTTGTTTCACTGTTCATCACAGCAGTGTTATCTCCAGGAGACATATAGAGAGCTCAATTGGCAATCCCAGCTGGTACATTTTTAAAACAAAACAGTAGTTGACCAAATTGTTCTTAAAAAAAAAAAAAAAATGAAAAATTCAACAATAAAAATTGATGTGGTTTGTTTCCAGAGAAAACAATTACTGGAAATGGATCCAAAAAAATAATCTGTGATCCTACTGATTTTGCTTAAATCCATAAGCAGCTGATGTACTATTAATGAGAACAAAATGTGCAGTTAGGAAAATGGAGCCATTTTAATCTGATGGTTTGAGCGAGGGTGTTGGGGGGAGTGAAGAGGAAATATTCTGGTTTCTGGATTAAATGTTTATACCCCTCCTGGAAAGATGGCTATCGTTTGCATTTATGTTAACCAGGAATCTTGGAAATGCAACTGAGGATTATCTTCAATGAGCCCTGAGCCCAGAGATGTCCTCATCATGGTCCCTTTAGCACGCGAAAGCAATGAAATCCTCCTGTTCTCATTTTTACTGCTGTGCTTGTGCTGCTGAACAATACAATCTTCACAAATTCCGTGCAACAAATTTAGCAATAAAGTTTCTAGATCGAACTTAGCAACTACTGTAATTGGATGCTGATGTGGGCAGAACACATTGATTGGAGTTTCATCCCCAAATGTGATTGCCACCAGCTCTTTATATTGCTGCTGTGGTATTTTAAACCAGAAGCTTTTTTTTTTTTTTTAAATTATGTTGCAAACTGATCTTTTATGTTTTGTTCTGTTTTGATTTCTAAGTGACAAGTTTGAAACACACAGCTTTAAATGATTTTTTTATTGTGGGATTTTGGGTACAGTTAAGAAATAAAAGGGAATCATTGTGTTTAAACATAAGGTAGTTTGTGAATGTGTTTTTTAAACTCTAGATTCATTGAAACAAAAAAAAAATCACAAGGAAACAATATTAATGCAGTCTTGTTTACAGTATGTACAGTTACATAACCTAGAACATGAGCTTTTCTGGTGCCAACAACAATAAAACACAGAAGTTAAACATCAAGCCATGCCTTTTACATTTTTATACAAGTAATTTATACAGAGCACAAAGCAAAATCAAATTTGAGAGAGCCCCCACAAATTCTGTGCTCCTTAAAAGATAATTACTTGAAGCCCTTATCTTCAAAAATCCCCATCATGACAGATCTCACCCCTGACAGTAAGGCCCACCTCATGCAGAATATATCAAAGTGGTGTCCTTATGACTCACACAGTTCCCAAATTTGGTTTGATTCCTTTTTGAAAGGTGTTTCAGGGTTGCTCTTCACACATCTTCAAAGTGTCTTTGGTTAGTATCCATCTTCATCAGGGAAATTCTTTCCCTAGAAATTGGCTCATTTTCTTTTCTACAAAAAGAAACTGAGCCCTCTGCCCAAGTAGGCTTCTTCCAATCCTTTCTTCTCTAAAAGGATGCTCTAGATTGATCCACTGGGCCTGGGCATAATCTAAAATCCAGGAGCTGGTAAATGATCTCCGTTCCTGGGCATCAGTCGTGGATGCTATTCTGTGAGTCCTTGCATCCAGTGGGTAGCATAAATGGATGACCTGGAAGACCAGTTCCATTGAGACCACAGTTATTGCACATAATGTAAATGAAAACCAAAAAAACGACATGGACTAAGCTTTTTGAGACTTTTGAGCTGTGCTTCAAGAAGACCTAGTGCTATTGACTTATTCAGCAGACTAGATCAAGGTAATAGGCAAAAATCCCACCAGGCAACATGAGCAGGTGCTTCACTTTTTTTTTCTTAGTTTTTTTTTTTTAAAGATTTATTTTTATTATTTTGTTATTGGAAAGGCGGATGTACAGAGAGGAGAGACAGAGAGGAAGATCTTCCATCCGATGATTCACTCCCCAAGTGAGTGCAACGGGTCAATACTACGCCGATCCGAAGCCAGGAGCCTTTTCCCGGTCTCCCACGCGGGTGCAGGTTCCCAAAGCTTTGGGCCGTCCTCCACTGCTTTCCCAGGCCACAGGCAGGGAGCTGGAAGGGAAGCGGGGCTGCCGGGATTAGAACCGGCGCCCATATGGGATCCCGGGCGTGCAAGGCGAGGACCTTTAACCACTTGCGCCACCGCGCCGGGCCCATGGGGCTTCACTTTTTAAATAACTTTTGATGTTGCTTTTCTCAGAGGCACTGCTGACATACCTTGCATCACATACACGTTTTTCAAAACCATCTTAATTCATAGTTGTCAACATCTACTAACAGTTTTCTGTCTGCTTTTGTGATTCATTGGTAACTGGTGTCTGCTCTTTCTGCTGCCACAGATTAGAAAGAAAGGTAATAACAGGCCAGAGCAGTTTTGGTTTTATCAGTTTCCAGACACAAAAGTAGCTGAATCTGGCTTCACAGTCCATCAAGTTAAAAAGAACACTTGCCCTACTTTTCTGTGTTCAAGTCCCCATCACTGTATTCCTGAAATGTGGAAGAGCTCTTTGTGTCAATAGTGTGTGCTGTCTTTGAGAGTCTGCTTAAATGGGCATCCCTTGCATGTGTGCTGACTGCTTAAAGATGTGAAATGTGTGACATTACTTTTCATAGAAGACCCAGCAACCTACTGCAGGAAAACATGAGAAAATCCACAACATACTGATAATTAGGATGACTGTACCATGCTCCTGGCATTCCCATATCTACTCTGCTACTATGACTATCACAATGGTTTCTATAAACTTATTAACTTGTTAGTTCATTCCTCAAAACTTTAAATCTATCCGAATAAAACTCATGAAAAACTGGCCTCCTCTGAGAACTACACAGTTTACAACATAAAATCTAAAATCCCAAGGTCTACATCTGATTGAATTTGCCTGCCATAATTTCTCAGAACTGCCACTATATCAGGAACCCTGAACTGTGCCATCCTTTTAGGGACATAAATTGATCTCTTTCAGGAACTCCAACAGAGAAAACCTTCTGAGAATTTGCAGGTTCGCAACTGACCATTTGTATTTCCTCGTGGTATTCTGACTACCATAGTGTATCATTGTTCTGAAAGCATGCCCTCAGACAACATAAACATGCAGCAGTTCACACAGCATTCTGCAGTTAGAGACCCTAACCCTGTGCTTGGAACTGGGTTCCTGTAGCTCTTGTCCACGAAGTACCAGTATGCACCAAAATAAAAAATCCCCATGGGACCATTTTAAACAAATGGGATAAGCTATGTTAAATCCAGATTAAAAATGTTGGATTCTAAATCTAGGAAGCCAAGCATTTGGAAGAAAACTACAAGATACAGTTAAGAATAAAAGTGTTCTAAAGTTTCCACGCGTTTGATTTTGTACAGCTATCTTACAAACCTACTCACTCCTTGCCAGAGACGGTTTGGTCTTCACAGTTCTCTTCATCAGCACCAAGTTACATTGCATTTTTGAGGCTGAGAAAATGTGGCAGGCAGGTGGATTTCCATTTGCAGCAATTGGCACATAGCAAATACCCATATCCCAGGGCTCCTTTTCCTCTCTTCCCACGGGTTAGGTGTTAAGGAATAGTAGTACTTCTGCTGTTTAAGAAAATCAGACATTACTGCAAATCATAATTTCAAATGTTCACTGACAGAAGGAGGAAAAGACAACAGCCTAACTGAATTTTAAAATTGGATACTGTAAGACTATTTTTGTAGATTTTGGCTGCCTTTTCTGTCATGTGAACATGACTGGCATAGGTGCCAAATTTATAATACCAGAGGAGAAAACTATCACTTTGCCTAGGATTGTTTGGTTTTTACATCTCCAATTTACGAAGTGTTTGAAATTGTCAGTTTGCTGAAATTTGATATGGTGTCACCTGTGTGAAGATAAAGAAGAAAATCATCCTGGCACATTTTCTCTTCTGAAAATGTCAATTTCTTTCAAGTAAGTTTTTTCTTTACATGAAAAAAAAAAAAAGTTTCAGGAAGTACTTCCCAGGGTTGTTCCCAAGCAGTACTCGCTCAGCCTTGTTGGTCCATACCCATGGGAACCACTACTGTGTCCTGGGATGTACCATTTTCTGTTATCACTTTCAACGTGTGATTACTTCAATACTGATAGTAGCAGGCTACCTGCTTATTCCTCATTTCCGCTGACAGAGAGCGACCCCTCTTTCCTCTTAAATACCTGCTGCGTTGAAGTGCTGGCCATGAAAAACCCAGTGACCTTTGCAAAGTTTCCTTCACTGTGCATGGAGTTTAGCTATGGCCTTCTACCAAACTAACACCATTTTTCTTAATCATTGGGGATTGTGATATCCACTTAGAACTACAAATATCCTGGTTTCTTCATTTCCAATGAAATGATTACTACTCAGAAGAATCACACTGGCTCTCTAAATGGTAAGTGGGCAATTCTCCTCACGTGCTTGATAGCTCCCATTTGAACCCACCAAATAAAGGCCATGGCCATAGCAATGCTTACCCATCTTCTGCGTCACCCATGTCTCACATTCTCTAGGACAATTTCACTATGTTCCCATCTTAAGTATCTCCTGTCTTATAATGGCCCTCCTTGTCCCCACTCCCTCTCTACCTGCATTCTCATTGTTATTTATCACAGAAAATGTCCCTGGAAGGATTTCACACAATTGCAGTCTCAAATTCTCCTTTGTCATTTGAAGCATCGTAAATCAGGTTCTCATTCTTACCATAGAGGCACTTGCTGAGGACCTAAGTGAGCCCCAACTGGCTTCCGCGGTCAGATCTCAACCTACATACTGCTTAACCGAACTGCTGTCTCAGACAATGACTCGATCCCATGTTCCTGAAATACTCACTAGGCTCTGGGCCATCCTTCTCACATTCCCTGGCCTTCTTTGTCATTCTTTCTCGGTCATCTATATAGATTTCCTGGATTGCCCCAAGTACTAAGGATCTTCTAAGCGATCTCTTGCAGTCTTGGGTCTTTGAAAACCACCTAGGGCCTGGTGCAATAAAAGCTGTTTATTGGCTAAATTCTCACCTCCACATAAGGGTACTGGTTCATCACCTGGCTGCCTCACTTCCCACCCAGCTCCCTGCTTGTAGCCTGGGAAAGCAGTCAAGGGCAGCCCAAAGCCTTGGAACCCTGCACCCACATTGGAGACTTGGAGAAAGTTCCTGATTCCTTGGCTTTAGACCGGCCTAGCTCCAACCACTGCAGCCACTTGGGGAGTGAATCAGCAGACAGAAGATCTTTCTCTCTGTCTCTCTGTATATCTGCCTTTCCAATAAAAATAAATAAATCTTAAAAATCTATATAGCACTAACACCTGCATTTTTATTTCCATTGCTGACCTCTTTCCTAAAACCAAATGTATAGGCCCAGCATCTTACTTAGCATCTTCATTTGCATATATAATCGGCATTTCAAACATAACATGTCCAAGAGCATACTGATTCTCACTTCACCCAGCAATGCATTCCTACTGCAGTCTTCCCTGTGTCAGAAAATGGCAGCTTTATTATTCTACAGCAGAAGCGGTTATTACTCTTAATTTTCCTTTCACATATTTCATATAATAGAATATATTTTAAATTCTGTTTTCTTTAGCTTCAGAACACTATAATAAACTCATTTTGATCCAAGACATTTCTTGCCCGAGGTCATGCTTTTAAACATACACCCAGGGCCCAGAGCAATAGCCTAGTGGTTAAGTCCTAACCTTGCAAGTGCTGAGACCCCATATAGGCATTGGTTCATGTCCCAGATGCTCCACTTCCCATCTAGCTCCTTGCTTGTGGCCTGGAAAAGCAGTGGAGGACGGCACAGAGCCTTGGGACCCTGCACCCATGTAGGAGACCTGGAAGAAGCTCCTGGTTCCTGGCTTTGGATTAGCTCAGCTCTGACAATTTTGGTTACTTGGCAGTGAACTAGCAGATGGAAGATCTTCCTCTCTGGCCTTCTCTTGCCTTTATTGCCTTTCCAATAAAAATAACTAAATCTTAAAAAAATATATATGTCCAGCTGAGTATCCTACTGAGACACCAGTTAGGATCTCCACATTCCATACCAGAGTACCTGTGTCTACTCCCTGGCTTTGG